GATCTAGGAGTAACGTACAGGAGTGTTTCTATTGGAAGCAATTAGGACAGCCACCGTCGAAATAAAATCTACAGTCTGGTATTTATTCTTCTTGCGTGAATTATACTTGGAAATATTCATCGGAATATATATATTTTGGATCTATTCGGATTATTAAGAATTACAAGGAAACATTTGGAATTTAATCGTTTATCGTAATTTTGAACTAAACTTTGGAATTACTCTATTTTGTATTGTTACCGTCTTTATTGAACTTTATTTATGATGTCAAACCGAAAAAAATCACACATGAGGACGGTGGAAGAGCTCGACGGATCACAGGGCTCTAGGCAAGTCGTTAGTGATAACTTTTTTATGGGTAACCCACATGTTATGTCTGATATTTATTATTGTAAGTCATCGATAGAGGGTTTAGAATTACCTAAGGTTGAACTCTCATATTTTGATGGAAGGTCTCGCGACTATTTTAAGTTCATACGACAAATAGAATCGTTTATAGAACCTCGAATCAAGGATGATCAAGTGCGTTTATTGTATTTAATTCATTATTGTAAGGGAAAAGCAAAAAATGCGATTGAAGGCTGTATTATTATGGATCCACAATCAGGATATAAGAGAGCTAAGGCCATTCTAAAACAGCTCTTTGGACAGTCGCATGTAATAGCGCGAGAAACCTTAGAGGACTTATTTAGAACTGGGAATGTAGAATTTAATGATCCTGAATCATTGACGAACTTGGCTATTAAAATGCAGAACGCTGCTTTAACTTTAGAACAGCTCAATTGCACAACGGAACTTAACTCTATGGCTAATTTAGAACGAATAGTAAGGCTCTTACCTCGTCGAATGCAAGCCCAGTGGGCAGAGCTAGTATTCAAGTGGGACGAAGAGGAGAGAGAGCCCAATTTTAACGAATTGACGGAATTTATTATGTCTCGTGCTAAGATAGCTAGTAGTAGGTTTGGAAGATTAGCTTATCAGGCTAAAACAGGAAATAGTACGGAAGCTATTAGTGGTCTGCGTGCGAGACATTCGGATTTTTCGTTTCTACCAAAAGCACGCTCGGAAGATATAAGAGATTTGTCAATTATATCACGAAAGCATACGCTGATGAAGGACGAGTATGTGACCGTAACGATGTAAAGCCTCTTGATGCGTGTCCTAGTAAGAAGCCGGTTGGTGTAACAGATAAGATGGCTTTTCTAAGTGTAGAAAAGAAAGAAAAAGGTGGTACAGTAACGGCTAAGAAGCCTAGGAGACATGATGCTACTATTACTAAGAAGCCTGGACCTCATGCTCTTTCGGATGCTACGATTAGCCATGGAAATAGTAGCCATCAGAACCTTAGTAGTGACAGTGATAATAAGGATATAGAAAGTGTCAGCAGTCCACTTATAGGGACTAGTTTATCAACTTCATCGAATGAGCCTCCTAGTGTTTCGACGCCATCGAACCTCGTCACGAAGGTTAAGTTGATTGAAGATGCACAAGGTTGTGCAACTGTAACTGTTCCTATTACGGTTGACTGTCAGTCGAGTGATGATGAGAAGAAAGTGTTTGATGGTAACAGCCAGTCTACAGTGCTGTGTGATGACGATGCTATTGTTGAGCATATGTCTTGTGCCGCTGAAACGGATGCTAATGCAGAACGGAATCATTTAGACGTTGATAATAAACTGGATGTCACTGATGTGACAAATGAGTTACCGACGATGATGAATACTGTTCAAACCTCCTCTGCATCAGGAGATGGAAGGATAAATATTGATCCTACGTCATGCTACTTAAGGTCTTCTGGAGACGATGAAATGTCAAAATTGGAAATCTCACCCTTGCATATTATTTATGGGTCAAAAACTTCTGTTGATAAGTTAGCATCACGGACTTCATGGTATCTGCTGATCGGAGCAAGTGGTGGTGGATTGGCGACTCGTCCCCATGAAAGAGAATGTAGTCCTTGGATAGGATATGACCAGTTTTGCGACGCGTTGTTCATGTTCGTATGGGTTAATTGGGTAAGGTTTATACTACCGTTAGGTCATTCCACGATAGATAGGGGAATCAAGGGCCTGATGGGAAAGTATAGGTACCTAGTTAACACGATAGGTCATATCCATGTTGGATGGCGGGTAGGCGTACTGCTGTAAGTCCTACACGTTATTCCGGTGTGGATTAGGGGATAACATGGGAACCCTAAATAAGGTGTCATTAACGCTTGCTGTTTTTGCATGGAGGGATTTTGCGGGCCGGTGTAGAATTCTTTTTGAATGTTTTGTGTTTTGGAAAATCCCTCCATGTTTACATATTTTTGCTATGACATGATGGACTTTTTCTCTTGACATTTTTGGTATTTTATTTGATTCCAATTTGAGATTTTATCCATTGTATATTGTTATTCTTTCTATATTTTGTACTTATATTGAAGTTTTTGTGTTTGCTTCTGAACTGTACATATATTGTTTAAATTTGATATAATATGGCTACCGCCACATTTTTGGATGGACGCGGTGGCTGCTGGACTTAGTGTCACTTACTAGCTATTGTACTGGATACTCTACGGAGTAATTTAGTCCTGGAAGAAACAAAAATACCGTAAGACTCTGTATTTCCATTTTATAATAATAAGAGACGTTTTCTCCTAGAAATTTTGCCCTTTTGATTTGGCTGGGACCTGGATCTAGGAGTAACGTACAGGAGTGTTTCTATTGGAAGCAATTAGGACAGCCACCGTCGAAATAAATCTACACATAATGTAACGCAATCTTACAGACCGGAGAAGAAGCTAGATTATTTCAAACCTATCTTGGCTCAGAAACTACCTTGTGAATAGAAAAATTCGCACCAAGGTAAACAGAGTGCACGCGAGTTGGAGAGTATCCACTTCGGAAATTTCACATGGGACCATCCTAGGCCCACTCCTCTTCCTGCTAGGCTCAGTTAGCTCATCGGCATTGATCTACGCAGACGATGCGAAGATCTGGAGGTCCATTAGAAGCGAAGAGGATTCGACTGAGCTTCAAAAAGACCTTACATCCATTGAGAAATGGGCAGTGAAGAACGGTTTAAAACTCAACCAACCGAAGTGCCACGTCATGCATTTCCTGCCTAATATGACGCAAACGACCTATACTCTCAATGGAAGTCCGCTCCCTAATGTCTCCTCAGAGCGCGATCTTGGTTTAATAACCACAGAAAGCCTCCACACCAGTCCAAACTATGTAGGGGATGCAGCCAAGGCAAATGCGACTCTTCACTTTATGCGGAGACAGCTTGCTGCTATCACCCCTAAATTATTTTTAACCCTGTTTAAGACGTACGCGCACCCACACTTGGGGGTTCGCAACATCATCGCACCCCCTCTGCTTAAAAGAGACATTAATCTCTTGGATCGAGTGCAGAGACGAGCAACGAAATGGGTGATAGGGTTGAAAATTAAACCCTACGACGATAGACTCCAGCTCTCGGGATTATTTCCACTGAGCTACAGGAGAATCAGAGGTGACCTGATTATGGCGTACACCATATTAAATACGTCAAACCATCCCAATGTGAGCATCTTACCGATGCATCACCACCACTCCCCTCGAGGCAATCCTCAAAAGATTGCACATCAAAGAGCGAATACTCAGATTCGTGTACACTTTCTCTCATTGCGAGTCGTCGCAACTTGGAATGCTCTCCCAGCCGAGGTAGTTACAGCCCTGTCAGTGGACTGCTTTAAGAAGAGACTTGATAATCACGTACTCACATACGGACTATCATCTCCCTCTTGGACAAGCTGTTCATGATGCATATCTTGAGACCTGCTAGTTGTTATCATTGCCATCTCCTCAGATCACTTACCTAATCTATCTCGCCTATTATCTCTGTTTCCTCTCCCTTGCTTACAATTCGGTCCTCTCTCACAATCCTCACTACCAATTAACAAACTAAATTCACCTATATATTACTCAGTTCTGAAATTTTATTCATATTATCATTTTAATTTATCCTTATTACCCTTATTACTCTCCACATTGCAACTAACTGATCTCCGGTTTGGTAATGTGACGGCTGCTAGTATCCAGAAACCCTACTGCCCTGAAACAAACGTTTTCATTAAAGTAATGGGACATACAAACTCACAACCAACTGTCAACTGACTAGAATTAGACAGTCGAGTGGCTAGACCTACATCCATTGGACATTACCAAACACCTGGAACCGTACCGAAAGAACAAGAATCGAGCGCGAAGAAATCAAACTGGTTTACACTAGCTCGTGAAAAAGATAGTGGATATTGGAATTCAAGTGTAAAAATTACTTAAAAATTAATTAACACACTACATTCACTCTTTTGATATACAAAACTGATGGTGAGCCATACGATTATTAAGTTTCATTCATCCGGAGTCATAGATCCAGTTGAAAGTTTTGAGCCCAAATCATACGAGAATCTATTGAAAATACTGGGCATATATTCCTTAGAATATAGGGAGTCTCATAATAATGAATGATACTATTTACGATTTCGGAGATCCTCTAAAAATGTTACTTTGGCTCAGTCTTAACATAAAGCTATGGGGGAACAATCCCAGGCTTAAGGTGTAAAATAGCAAGTATGCTTGCAGACATATCATTTTCTCAGGTTTTTATATTCCATCATTGTCTGAAAAGAATCCTGAAGTCTATTCAAACGGAATGTGATGTATCTTCAATAGCCAGAATGGTATCTCAAATTTGTTGGCTAATATTGCTTTATGCATCCACATTTCACACAATTTCGCCTCTCCGAAGAACTACTGGTGATCCAAAGTAACTAGATACACAAGCTTGCTGGACGAAAGCTCTTATTTGTAACAAAAATAAGCTGGTTGAATCTAACGAAGCTGCTGAAGACATTAAATTTGATTGGAAACCTGGACACTGTGAAGAATCTAGAATTGTTCCTTAATGTCAAAAAGGTGTCAAAGTTATAAGTTGATCTAAATTTTTGCTTATTATTGAGACATTGTATTTAACGGGAGGCGATTTTAACATTGCCGGTTCACACTCCTTGTCCGCCAGGAAGATGACTTCTGAGTGCATTGAGGTTCGTATAGGTTTTTCAACCTAAGTATGTAATTTATAGAGAAAAGAAGTTAGGCGCTTACAAAATGATTATGATAAATTACTTCTGTCCGCCAGTTTTTCTGAAATTAAAAAATTACTGGAAGAATGTGGAAAGTTACGCTATCAAGCAGATCACCTAGAAAAGGTATGAAAATACAATACTTACTGTTTTAGTATCTGAAACAATTGAATAACCACGTGCGGCATAATGCCATTAGTATTCATGCTGCTGTATCTTCTTTGTTTGATTATGCTATAAAAACTGTATTTGAAAACACTAAACATTCTGTACAACTTAATGTTCCTAATAAACGTAGTTTTGGGGATTATCAATGTAACTCTGCTCTCAGCATTCCAAAAGTAGGTACTGAATTGTAAATTATTGCTTAGGAGTCTAAAAGTGATCAAAATCCTCTTGATATTGCGAAATCAATTGTTACGGCTTTACCCGTTAATGATTTAATAGAAAAAGTGGATATTGTTCCTCCTGGATTTATAAACATCTGGATTAAACGGGAATTTATTTCCACAGAAATCAGAAAAATTTTGCTTCATGGAGTTACACCCCCATTCATTGCTCATAAATATTCTGTAGTTGTCGATATGTCCTCTCCTAATATAGCCAAAGAAATGCACGTGGGACATTTACGGTAAGACTCGTAGCAAAGTATCGAATCTTCTATATTTTCACTACACATGTGTTTTCACATTTCTAATTAATAGGCTAAATAAAAATCACCAGGATTAAGAAGTTAGCATTTACCTGCCATTATAGACTGTCAAAAAATTTCCCGAACTCAGTCGGTTACATTTCTCATATTAGGTATCAACCTAAGGTTCGACTAAATATCACCCCGCGATTCTTGGGTAGGAATCGATCTTAGTATCCGTCATCGCAAGGTTCTGTTCGCCAATCTAGTTAAATTTTGAGAAGTAATACTGACGGTTTAGTAGTTATTCGTAATTTTACTCAACTTTCCAGCATTGGTCACTAGTTTTATACTTCGTTACACTTACTTTCGGACAGCTGATTATTATCATAAACTTTCCTAAATTTTGGCTCAAACTGAGCTACGATACTGCCCGGGTGCCCAAACCGAAACTGGTGGTTTCCTTAGAGGGCCACTCCCTAATCCTTTGGTTCAGAGGTCCATTCTACAAAGCCATGGAGTACCGTCAGAAGATGAAGTCTCAAGACAGCGATTGACCAACGATAGGTTCATACGCTATTCGCCCCATCAAGATCCTGGGGCCCATATGCACCATGGGCTTAGAACTAGGGTGGATCCACCATACCCAACAACCCGGTTTAAACATCGGATATTCACTTCCCATCCTCTCAACTCCGTATGTAGCGCCCCGACCACGCGAAGACAGTGAGTAGGACTGTTTCTCTGGCGGTGTTTATATATGCATGGCCATGTGAGAGCATTTCGAGAGGGAAAGCAGACTCCATCATCAGCCGTACCAGAGCGTTTACGAGAAACTTATACTTTATAAGTAAATTGCATCAAGTAATTCTTGTTTAAAAATTGGACCCATGAACTTAGTAGTTGAACTATCAAGTATCGAAATCTTTGTATCAGGAAATTAAAGTGCTTCTGAACAATTGGCGTGTACTTATTAACATTCAAGCAGTTTACTAAATGTATCATTCTAAGGAAATTTTAGGGATCAGTATATCACATGTACCACTCAACGATCGTATGTTGAACTACAGTCATTCACTAATGTATCAATTTGACGAATTAATTTTGGCTTATAAATGGCCTATCATGGATCTGTTTATACCGTCAAAGTAAAGCTCGGAAAATCGCTTAGATTGTAGTTGCATTTGATCAAATCTATCATTATTTACTGACCGAATAAGGAACTTTCCTATATTTTCATAAAAAACTGCAATCTAAAACGTGTCGGAGACTTATTTTTGAATTCCATGTAAACATACGAAAAATAAACATCACTAATTGCGATCGAGTTTCGTTTCTGAGCTGAATGCTTTGGTTGTGGAGCTTTCATTTTTCTCCTGAACATCATCAGCACAAACTTCAGATAAAAGTGAAGTATTCGAATTTCTCCACATTTAATCCGTAGCTTGTTCTGTTAACCCCGATCTTGATCGGTTGTTATTGACCCTAAACCTGTCTTTGTTTGCAACTTTATTTTGATTGTATCCCCCTTTAATCTGTTTCTTGATCCTACGTTCGCCTATGAGTTTTCTGATTAGTTGATAAATTGGGTCACTGTCGATGCGTTTGCTTATTGCTTTAAGTGCCAAGCTTCTAAAAATTCTCTACTGTTCTTTTCGCTTCCCCTACCCAATATTTCAACATCGTTCCAATCGAACGTATGTCCATAGTTGTCCGTATGTATTGATATAGGGGAAGAAGTGTCATGGCGTTTAACTGATAATTGATGTTCACGCAAACGAGGCTGAAGAGATATCCACTTTGTCCTATGGTGTGTTTTTCACAATTCGAGCAATTTATTTTGTAGATGGTACTTTTTTTTCTTTTGTCATGTTTTCCTTTGGTCTGCATAGGATTGATTAAAGTGATTCTTTTGGTTTGTGTGCTACGCCTATGCCAAATGGTCTTAGTAGTCGTGCCGCAATTTCTGATATGTCTTGTATGTATGGTGGGACGATCCGTTTATTGTTTCTAACCCTTCCTTCTGTGTGTGAAGGCAGCATCGATGCAGATGCTGGTTGTCCGAGGGAAACACCTTACTGCTGTCACACCCCTCTGCAGTCAGCAGTACGACTTCGCCCTCAGACCTTGGGTAACTGCTTTTAGTCTCATCGTTCTCCAATCGACCTGCCTGGCATGATAGAACCTTGAGGAACATATGTTCCAGCCAGTATAGCTCGGTTGGGTCATCACGATAGGCAAGCCCGACCAGCAGCTACGGTCGAGATTAGTTCCTGCACTTGATTTCGCTTTTGTTGATGGTTTCATTTGATATTTTTTGAAGTGTGAATAGCCGTTCTTTTGGAAGATAGTCATTAGATATTTTCCCTCGTTTTTTGTGCTTCATGTGCTCTTCAGTGTCTTTACTCTCTTGAACAACGATTGTACGCAGTTGATTTTGTGAGTTCGTGGGTTGTTGCTATTGTGGTTGAGAAGTAGGTCTGCGTGTATTGGCTTCCGAAATACTTGGATCTCCAGTTTTCGTGTCAGTTCTGGTGATTAGTACATCCAGTACTGACAGATTGTTGTTTGATTCCTTTTCCATTGTGAATTTTATGTCAACCAATAGGTTGATCCGATTGTAGGTTTTCTCCAGCTCGTTCCTTTTAATAATGACAAATGTGTCGTCTACATAGCGAACTCACATTTTTGGTTTGTTCACTGATAAAATCGATGCTTCTAGTCTCTACATCACAGCTTCCGCAATGAGTCCTGGTATTGGTGATCCCATTGGTGTTCCTTTCGTTTATTCGTAGATTCTGTTGTTCAATTGAAAGTACGTTGTCAAGCATAAATCGATAAGTTTTAGGAGACTTTGACTCTGAAGTTTTGTATATTTTGGGAGATTCGTTTCGTTGGTGAGGAGCAGAGATAGAATTTCCTTAGCTGAGCTTGGCTTTGTTGATATGAATAAGGCTGTTACGTTGAAGGATATCATCAGTTCGTTGTTTTAGATTTGAATCTCTTTGAGTTTATCCAAGAATTGTATGGGGACATAGTGGAGTAGTTGAATGAATCTACCAAATGTTTTAATATCCTTCAAATTTATCTTGGTAAGTTATTTGTTGGGGTTCTAGGGAGGGGTACAATTAGACGTAGTGGAATGTTGGGTTTGTGTAGTTTCGGGCTATCATAGAATCATGCGGTCACTGGTCCATTGGCTTTCATTCTCCATTGATCTTGTTTTGATATTTGTCCTGCTTTGGCAAATTTGCTTAAAGTCCTTGAGATTTGGCTGTTTAACCTTTTTATCGCGTTTGTATCTATTAGTTTATATACCCTTCTATCCTCAAATAGTTTCTCGGCTTTTCTGATACATCATTCCTTGTCCTGGACACACTACAGTAATTATGGACACAGCTCCCTTTCGCACTTCCGCATTATAAATTGACCATCTCTTTTCCATTCTATCATAGCGTCGCCGAATAATGTGTGATGTGGCAGTTTCCGGGATGATATTCGTATATCATTTTCGAGCCACTAAAATCATTGTTTCAAATTTATGACATTAACTGGATCGCCATCGTGCGTCTGAACATAGTTCCGAACCTTAATATTATTAACATTGTGTTACCGCTGAACGTCAGCAACCTTTCGGTGATGGTGATCAAACACAAAATGTCTCCAAACATACTTACCTTTGGGAGACCAGGTTTTTCAAGTATAAAACAGGACTTTTCTCACCGATATGTTGTAGTCCCAACATTTTAGGGCCAAACTAACATCACGTCGCCAACAATGGTCCCCACTGATACCATCCGCTCTCTCCCCCATTACTCTTAGATCTCTCATTAGTCGCGTCACTAACAGCTTGAAGCAACCACCCAGAAATGGGATTTCTGACTACTAGCGTCACCACAATCACCGAGTGCTAGGATAGGTACTTGTCAGTCTTGTAAAAGTACTTTGCATTTAGAAGGTGCATAATATATGAAGAATGAATGCCAACTGATTAAATGATGTCTTCGCATCCTGAGTATTATCCAACTGCATACCGAAGATCAGACAGATTTTCTCTAGAAACATATCCACATTACCAATACATGTTCCCATCGGAGCTGTTTCAAGTATGTTATTGATGGTGCCTATCGTATGTGCCTAATAACCTGTTGCACTGCAGGGATTGGAGTGTCGTTGTATAAGAATTACGTTTAAACCAGATTTCGTTTCAGTAAACACAAAATGTTTCTTAATGCTCAAAAAATTTATCAGACACTTGTATTCGATGTCATTTTTCTGTTACAGATCAACTATTATTGGAGAAAGTATTTCCCGTTTGCTCTCATTTTTGGGTCACAAAGTGCTGAAACTCAACCATCTTGGGGATTGGGGTACACAGTTTGGGATGTTGATAACCCACTTAAAAGAGATATATCCTGACCATAAAACTGCACCTCCTATATCTGACCTTCAAGCTTTTTATAAAACTTCTAAAACTAGATTTGATGAGGAAGAAGACTTTAATCAAAGAGCTCATGTGGCTGTTGTTAAACTTCAACAAAATGATCCCGAATACGTACATGCTTGGAAACAAATTTGTGACATATCACGAAAAGGTATATAGTTGAAACTCATTCATCGTACTAACATGATGCGATATATTCTAACAGTGTCATCACTAAGTTTCTTATGATTGTCATGTTTATTCTTTTGTCAGGTTTCGAAAATTTACGAACAATACTATGTCTAGAAAACTACATATTAAAAATGAGGGATTTATGATCTGATATAAGTAAATTTTCGAAGCCTGATGAAGTAAAGAACAAAACCGCTATGATCGAAAAACGTCTTAAGGATATTTTAAATCGGATGACAAACAATTATTTAGTGGCATCCGAAAAGTTGGGCAAAAAAGGAGCTTCAGGTTCTTTAATACCTGGACTACGTGGCGTATCTGAGATACATAAAGCTTGATTACCTCTTCACCTCACTTTAGGCATGACTGAATCACGATACTACACAATTGCAAAGTGGGTAACTCATACATAAATCGATTTTGAGATTAGTTTATAAGTATTTTCTAAATGACACCGTTAAGTTAGTTGATGTTATAAGTCATGTAAAGGTTTCAAATAAGTATTCATTCTCTATTTATAAACATACTTAACATAAATGGTATGTTTTATTCACCATTTTTAGTTAATTCTTCAAAGGTGCGCTTTTGCATCCCTAGCTAGTGTGTGCTTACATTCGTGTGTGATAATAAATCGATTGGCTGAATTAAATCTACGAAAACCATTGAGCTCATGTTTTCGCTAGTTTATATACTCAACGAAGCGTAGTCTTGCGAGAACTTGTCCCAATAGTACTGAAAACCACATCACACAGTGCGATAGAATTCAATCATCACTAAGGACAGTGCAACATGTAGTTACTAGTCAGCACTTATTTTGTGCGGTTAAAGGGCCTGCCATTATAATCGTTACCATATTCAATACAAATTTATTATTTCACTACTCTAACATTTTTCAGAATTCGACGATATATACCGTCGATTAGGTATTGAGAATCTTATTGAGCGTGGGGAATCGTTTTACCAAAGTCGAATGGAAGAGCTTGTTGAAAATCTTAAAAGTCAAAACGTTCTACAGGAAGACGAGGGTAGATTAATTTTGTGGCCACCCAAATGTGAAGTTCCTCTCACAGTTGTAAAATCAGATGGTGGTTTTACCTACGATACATCTGATTTAACTGCTTTACTTCAGCGCTTGCATGAAGAAAAGGCGGATTGGGTATTGTACGTTGTGGACATGGGTCAAGTAAGTGAGATTTATTTCTGCTGAAGTTGTTCATTAATCTCTCACAAATGATCTTTAAGTGACAGCTATTTTAGTCGTAAATACATGTTGGAAGGAAAATAACAGAAAATGTAATTAGTGAGGTTTCTTAAAATTTACTTTTCATTTTTTTCATAAGCTACTCAGTGATTTTACTTTATTCTCACTAAAAATAACAAATTAAGATATTCGGCATTTTCTACTATCATCTCATCCAAAACACCCCGAATCATTTCCAGGTTTTTCTGTCGTATTCACTTTACTACTTAAATTTTGTTGAAGGTTAAAAATGTAACATATATATTCGTCGATTGCTCAGGATCTAAAGATGGTCATTAAAAATTCGTAATAATAAGTGAATGAACCATTTAAGTGATAGAAATAAGATTAGTTCATCGATTTAATCCACAATATATTAAGTCGAATGAAATTTTCCTTGTCTCAACTGGTCTGATTGTCATGCTTCTATAATCCTTTCATAGTGTAGGTATGTTTCATAAAATGGTTGAGAGGAATTTAAATGGATGCTTTCTTCTGTCTTAAATGTAAGCCCACTTTAATATTTAGTTCCTTATATCGAAGTATACCTAATAAACTAATAAGATGAGTAATTATTATCCTGCACCACTTATCTGACTTTGAGGATAAAAGATACTAAATAATAACGTCAATAAGTGAATACAAATTATTTGTGACTAGTGCTATAAACGTTTTTCGTAAAATATGATGTACCTTAATGATATTTAGTGAAACGAACCAATCGATTTCCTAACAATAATAAAGTTGCATCATCTTTTCTCTTGTAATTTTATTACCTTTTATGAATTCAAACATTGGATAACCGGGACTCTAGCATTTTTAAGTGTTGTTCCTTGACATTCAGGGGATAACAAAGAGATGTCTCTAATCTTGTGTTAATGGTGCAAGTGCAGTTGGTAGACAAAACAAAAAAGGGTCCCACAAGAACCGACGAATATATATATATATATATATATATATATATTACTCATATTGCCGCAGAAGTATAGTAGATCACTTTATAGAGCGAGGAAGACGATATGATGCACAATCTTAATTCATCAGAAAATGGATGGCCTACAAAATGATTGTCATCCAACCTTTTGTGACATCTAGTCATGTGTGTGTGTGAACATGTTATTTTTGTTGAAGAAAAATCTTGATCTACCGGGTAACTGTTTTACCATCTGGTACTAGTTCGTAAGCGGTACTTACATCGATAATCTGGCCTAATGAACAATTGTCATTAGACCCCATCGTATTGCTGCATATTAACAATAGTTTAACATGAATTCTGTTAATTTAATTTAACGATCCCAAAACGGTTTTTCGTAGAAAATTGTGAAACCCCAACTCATGACATCGGCATTACCACTCTTATTTGAAGTAATACTACACAATGACCAATATTAAACCGTTTTCTTTAACAGTGTAGAATTCAAGAAAAGTTTAGCTTTGTAAAATATCAATAACCATTAGCCCAATCAATATGTCTTGTTGTAAAATTATTTTGCTTTATTAGGCTGTTCACCTTAACACAGTATTTGCGGGTGCAGAAATGCTTGGCTTTTATAATCCGGATGTGCACGGAGTTCAGCATATTGGATTTGGTGTGGTGCTCGGTGAAGATAAGTAAGTTTTCCACTATATTTTTATAGTTTTTATGTGGTATTCTCTGATTTCTAATAGTTTACTGATGCACTAAACTGTATCGTTGATGAATCAACCAGATAATCAGGTAGTTTCTTTGGACAATAAAATATCACATTAATTTTTCTAAAGAAATTTTCACCAATTTAAACATTCATGAAACTGAAAGTGATACGAACAAGTTGAAACACTATCTAACAACATAGTTTACAACCATACAACATGTTAAGGAGAATGTTAATTGGTTTAGTGGTATTTACTGAAGAACTGTCATTAATCACTGTATAAATAACAAAATAGACATGTGAAATACTGTAATTAAACAGAAGATCACTTAACGCATGTGACTTTCTTTCACAAACAATCATGTTACCCTTCATCTTCAGCGCTTGATAATCAATGATTCATTTAATTCACAAGATACCAAGAAAAGTCATCTTGAAAAGTATAGTATAGTAAAAGTTTTTTTAGTCACTTGCTTTAATTACCTACATGTTTAAGTGTATTTGCGTGTTTTTATTGACGGGGCACATTTTTTCTATAATATCTGTTCAGGAAAAAATTTAAAACTCGTTCTGGTGAAACAGTTCGTCTAGTTGATTTGTTAGATGAAGGTCTTGAGCGAGCGAAAAACCGATTGCTTGAGAAAGAGAGGAATAAAGTGAGATATTTTGAAATTCAAATAAATTTTCCATAATTTTTAGCCACTACAATATACATGAATGCATATATATATATATATATATATATATATATATATGTATATATATGGATGAGTGGTTAAGACATTTAACTTCAGTCAGTCAGTCAGTCAGCTAAAACGTAGAACTTCGAACGTACGTACATAATTTCAAGTTGCCATACCACATTAGCACAGAGACGCTATTGTCGGTAATAGAGAATAGTTAAGAAGTATAGTTTATTGAGATTAATCTAGAAAGAGAAAGATAGAGATGATGATTAATTCAAAAGGTAGGATTTAAGGGAACACAAATAGTTGATACACCTGCGCCATTGCAAACGATTATGAACCATGTAACCGGTTACTGTCATTTCTCATACCCCAACCAGGTAGTCTACACTTACCAACATGACTCAGCGCACTGTCAATGAATTCATGGATCTGTGTCATGTTTTGGTTTGGCCGCCCCTAGATTTCCTCCAATCTCCTCCTACACCACAAAACATAGCTCGTCAAGGCAGTCGGTGGTTGGGCATACGTAGCATATGTTCCTATCACCCCAACTTATGAAGTTTCAATGCTTCGAAACTTTAAACTTAGCTATTGTATTTTAGGTTCAAACCTTACTTCATCTACTTCCATTTAATCGATAGCCCAGTATAACTAGACTCCATATAAAAAAATTTCAGTTCAAGGCCAAATACATAAACGTGTATTTAACAAAGAAGTTACAGACTAATTTTTAGTGCTATTTTTCGACACGTGTAAAATCACCATATAATCAAACCGAAACCCATAGACTAATAAAAATCACATCCTTAACATCATTAGCCTTAATGCAGTAGTAATACTGATAGCAATTTTAAAACATGATTTTTGTTATATATATATATTGTACATTGAATCGTTTATCCTAATATCTAGGTTAATCTCTTCGTCTGAAATGCTAAGTGATTTCTATTGTAGATAACACGCAATTCATGTCGATATAAAAGATTCTAGTTAAAATCTAACTTTGAATTCTTTCGAATTCGAAGGTTTTGCAATTTATTACCATCTTTTCATGTCCTCCTCTTCTGAAATAACTCTCTAAGCACAAAAATTAATTTTATGTTAATCATTTAATGTTAAACAGTATAATGTCAGATGTACAAAGCATGGAACAATAAACTCTTTTCAATTTTGTAAAACTGATCTATCTTCTTTTTATACCCGTCTTTTTTTCTTTTAAAGGAGCTTACTGAAGCTGAATTTGAACGAGCTCAGAAGGCTGTAGCATACGGTTGTATTAAGTATGCTGATTTATCGCATAGTCGAACAATTGACTATGTATTCTCATTTGATAGGGTAAGCAATAGTGATGTGTAGAAGAGAAATGTTGTATTAATACTCTCTATTTAGAATGTTTAGTAGAAATTTTATTCAACTAGATTTGATAATAATGTTATTATTTTTTCACCATATTTACTGAGACTTAAATTGATACTTAAAAACAGAAATTTATGTTCGTACTTAAAACTGAACAAAGATTGCAATTTAGTCAAGTGTAAAATGTAAACGTTGTATTTATTACAAATTTATATGATTTAAGGCAGCACTAAACGGCTGTTTTTTCTTACTAGTATAGGTCTTCAAGTGAAATCAATCCGTGACAAATAATCTGTATACGCTAAACCCACCTTCATTTAACTGTTCTATTGTATACTAAATATTTAGTGAACCAGTTAACTCACTTTACATTTTAAAGAACAACTAAAAAGTACTACAAATTGAATAGTTTATAAGTTGTTTCAATGAAGAATAATTAGTAAATGTAAATATAATTTCATGTTTTTTTTCTGATATAATACAGCATTTCATTTCGAGAAGTCATTATGAACTATATATTTTTTTCTCTTAGCTAAATGCCATCTTATGTAGATTTCAAATTTTCATTAATTTCAACATAGATTCATGTGTGTATATTCAGTATTGGTGTTAGTCATTTTAATTTGTGTTAACTAATGTTCTATCTTAATCTAGTATCATGTACCTATTGATATATTGATGTATATGAGTTCTGATGATAATATAAATTATACAACTAAATTAACTAATAGACACTGAAACAACAGTAATACTGTTGGAGATGTTAAATCCCCAGAACTCGTTTGATAAATATCTTTATTTTGGATTTATTTCATGGACCGATCAGTTGACCCTGAGATCACATTTACCACCATAACAATCCTTGGCTGTGATTGGTTACTGTGTCATTTTAGTGTGCTATTTTTCTGGCTGTCCCAAGGATATCTCTATAGAGTATAAATAAACGCAATTTGAGTGCTTGGATTGATTTTGTGCTTGCTGGGTGTTTGTAGAATACACTTTCTACGCTATATCAAGACTTCTTGCTGGTGCAGTTGGGACAATCGGATCACAGTAGCCTACCTGGACGCTGGTTCATTGTTTTGTTCTCGTTATTCGACTAAGGTGAACCCGTAATAGTTTAAGCGTACCTAGAGACGAGCTTAACAAATACAAAGATAGAAAATCAAAATCAAAGTCTCTGTATGAGAAAGCTTTTAATAAATATATGAAGAAAGAGTAATTGTGTATTATATAAATATATACATAACACAACTAGTTATTGACATGTAACCAGCAAATAGGGAAAATACTGTTAGGCTATTCATAAAAATATCTCAAAAATTATTCTGTTAAGTCGAATTTTATCTTTGAACGTGAAATGGTATGTTTTCAAACTTTTCACATGTTTCCTATTGGTCAATATTTACGGTCATCCTAACTGTATAAATATGCATCATTATTCTGAACCCATAAACAATTTCCATCTAGCGGTTTTGCGTTCTGATATATTGGAGATTTGGGGAACAGTATTTGCGGTTCTACTGGGATATCTGAAATTGGTCAATTGGTAGAATTTCGAGTAGCCACATACTTTGCGGTCCACAATAAATATGAACAGGGTTTTTTAATTATCTAAGTGCTTAATTTTAAGTTAGAAAAGGAAAACATGGTAATGATTTGTTGGACTGCTGAAATGTATGTGACTTAGTAATGAGACACAGTTCCATCATATATACTCAAACTGCTGATAATACCGTGGCTGGCTAAAATGCAGTGGGCGACTAAAATTTCTAATTCTTTAACCGACTGAGTTATTACATCCCGTTCGGGTTATTGATGAATTATTGTATTCTGTTGAATATTCATTCAAATTCTTTTTATCAAATAATTTCACACTTGACTAGATCCTGTTAAAATGTCAAACAATTTGACTGAATAAAATAAAATTCCTTTTTTTTATTCTATAACTATTAATTGTAAATTTTAGATGTTGGATGACAAAGGAAACACTGCAGTTTACTTGTTATACGCATATACACGAATCAGGTAATTACTCTAGTTATATATATATATATATATATATATATATATATATATATGTCTATTAATCCTTAAACCACTTTCATTGACAGCTGTAAATTAAAAAAATATTTTGATTTATAAAAATATGTAGGATATCCATTACAGTCTAATTTGTTCAAAACGAATTCTGCTTTATGATATTCTAACTGGAAGTAATTTCATATCATTAATACAGCTTTTATTCAACAGTTTAGATGCTTACTTTTCAATGATTCAGTTAACTTTATTCGGAAGATGATGACACTATAGTATACAACAAAGCAACATTTTTCTTGCATAGTAAAACTGTAAGGAATAATAACTTTACAAAAGTTGTCTGCTGCCTTGATCGGTTTCTCTGCATAGAATTATTCGTTTTTTTACACTGAAACTGTTATGCACGTACGTCACCACGTCAGTTAATACGCTTGAACTATTACGAGTTCATCTTAGTCGGTGAACGAGAGCGAGGATCGATGATCCGGTGACACGACAGGCTACTCTAATCCGAGCGTCCCAAACCCCCATTGAGTAGAAAAAGAAGACTTGATATGAAGTAGAACATGTAATTCAACAAGCATTTAGAAAGTATGAGGTCCCAGTCCAGAAGAGGATAAGGATCCGGGTCATAAACCGTTACAGATAATGCATATTTATACATTTAGGTCGAATAGGAAACAACATTTGAAGTATGTGACATTGACAGGTATTAGGACGACCAATAGGAGCTAACCAATAGGAATTGATCAATAGAATTAGACTTTGGATATTGAATGAATATCCTAACAGAAACCAAATATCTTGTTTTGATTGTATAAAAGCAACTGACTTAGTATTTCTTCAAAGCATTTGAATATGTTCAGAGAGTAATTCTTTTCCATCGCTTCAGTTATTGGCTACCATTGCTAATATTTCATATCACAAAAAAAAACTGATGACATTTATTTTCATTGAACAAATTATTTATTGAATGCATTATCAATTCTTCATTTGAAATCTCAAAGAGACTCAAACTTGACTTAGTGTACACTAACTAACTCCACATAACCTAATTCTATAATGATTTTATTTTACAGATCAATTATAAGAAATTCAGGTTATACTGAAAAAGAGCTTCATGAAATTAGTGAAACAGTACCATTGAAATTTGAACATCCTACAGAGTTGACATTGGCTAAAACATTATGTCGTTTGCCAGATATTTTATTAAAAATTCAAAATGATTTTCTATTGCATAGTCTATGCGATTATTTATACGATTTAAGTTGTGTCTTTACCAACTTCTACGATGCATGTTATTGTATCGAACGAAATCAAGAAACCGGTATGTCAACTTGTTAAATAAAGTTAAACAACTTTTTTTTCTTTTGATTAATTGCGGGTCATTCGTACTGCTAAGAATGATTAGTGTTCAATTTCCAAGTTATGCTTTTTCATGATCTTCAAATAACGTTTTATCTTTTTAAATTAATAGTGTATATAGGATAGTAACAATTAACTATGAATTAAAACAATTTAACTTTTTTTTTTGGAATCTCATTCTTTTAATTAAGTAGTTTAATCGTATGAAGCTTTCATGCCCTGTCTGCATGAAAAATATCAGCATGTAATTTCGACTAAACAATCACTACAAGCAACACTATCAACTTATTCGGTTGACTTTGAATTTGATTGATCATTAGGAGCTGCAAATCTTCGCCACCATTTTATTTGAACATGAATACACAATGTGTTTTGTACTAGAGAAATAATTTTTCTTAACTAATTTTCCCTTATTCTCAATGTGTTATTTATTTTGAAAGGATTCATTTACTTTTTCACAGTTTGCATCACTATTTCTAATGTAAATCTTTATTTATTCATTTTAGGCGATATTCAAATTAATCAAGAACGTATTGTGTTATGTGAAGCTACTGCTCGAGTAATGAAATGTGGATTTGATATACTTGGAATTGAAACAGTTGAGAAAATGTAAATGTTTCTGTAATATGTGCATTTGGATCAATAAACAACATTTGTATAAAAAAAAGATTAGATTTGTGTCATTACATTATTCTACGAGATCTTAATCATAGTGTGAAAGTAGATATATACAAAGCCAAAACAACAATAATAATAGTGGTAATCACATAGTAAGATTCAACCATTAAAAATTACCATACTTATTAGTAGTCTACCTATTTGTATGTTGAATGAAATAATTTCGATTTTTGCAGTGGGTTTATTTTTGGTATTACTTACAGATGAAAGACATGCAACATGGTAAATTATACAAGAAGATATTTACCTAATCAATTTACTACGTTTAGTTTTGGCTATTTAATGAGTCGCTGTGAATGATTTAACTATCATCAACCGGACTTGCTGAGATACAACTGTGTGTTCTGTGGTCACATTCCCAGCTCGATAAGACCTAACGCTGATCTAATTTCATTTTCAGGTTCCTCAAGAAATCCCCTTCCACTGTGTGGGTAGCCGGGAAGTGATATCCACCCTCATACCTAACAACACTCAAGACCAAATAAGTCACGATCAAATCCTTTCTATACCTCCTAATAACCCTCTTACCTCCATGACAAAACCTTCTCATATCCCTTTATTACCTGACGCAGCCGACGCAAACAATTTGAGTACACTAAGCGTTATTCCTGGTTTCCTGAAACCCCGCTCTAAAGTACATGTTAGAGCTTTTAACGTTCGGACCTTGTGTCAAATAGGACGATAGGCTTCCTTAGCTAGGACTCTGGAACCCCGTGCCATCGATGTATGTTGCGTCTCCGAAATGCGCATACAGGGTCCGAGTAAAATCATTAATTAGATTTCACCTTGTCCAGATCGAGAACCAACTCGGTTTACGCTTCGTGGATCTGGGAGCCCTAATGCCGCTTCCCGTTGCCTCACTGGTGTAGGTACAGCATTGAGTCCTAGGGCAGAAGTAGCTCTCCTAGACTGGATCTCAGGAAAGACACCTGGATGGATCTTATGGTGTGGCGGCTCAAAGAATAGACAATGGCGACCGTTTGCTACAACTATGATCAGACAATCGCCTATTTCAGGCAAATAATAACTTTAAGCGTAAGGAGAAATATCTTTTTTAATAATAACCCTCTAAAGTTGACTCAACGCTAGAACCAACTTGACCACATCGCTATCAACCACCGATGGAGAGGCTCAATAGAAGATTGCCGCTAATTCTGGAGCAAATATTAAGGTTCAAATCATGCTCAAGTACGAGCGCATATTTGTCTAGGTCTTATTGCACGTAAGAAAGACACAGAAGGGAAAGCCCATAGAGTTCCACTTAGCGGCAACTAAGCCAAGAGTATATTTTAGGAGCACTGAGAAAAAAACAGGCAGCGACGTAAGTGATGCTCACACTGAGGCAGCTTGGAATGATATCCATAAAGCTATCGAAACAGTAGTGATAAGGTAAACCATAAGGTTGAGGAGAATCAGTGGATTTCAGTAGCGTCTACTGAACTGATAGACGCTCGAAAACTCATTCCGTCTGACTCTGAACAAGATGAGGAGCGGAGTCAGCTTAGGCACAGGCTGATAAGAAGCTTACACAACGATTGCGAACAGTGGTGGGTGGCAAAAGCGAGAGAGATGGGAAAGGCAGCGGCGATAGGCAACACTAGACAACTATTCAGACTTATCAAGGAAACTGGTATTAGGAATTCGAATATGAATGAGACTATCTCAGAAAACGATGGCTGTATCATTCGTTCTCAATCCAGGAGACTGGACCGATGTGCAGTACACTTTAGGGAGCAGTTCAACTGGCCTCCAGCCACACTTCGGTTACCCACGATCTCCAGTCAATCTGAATGATAAGTTCATTTAAGTCTTCCAAATCTGAATGAAGCTGAAAAAGTTATAGGCAATCTAAAACGAGGGAGAGCATCAGGCCCTGATAGTTTAGCCCTTGGGATGTTTAACGGAGGTCGTCCAGTTTTAGCAGTTACATTGACTGAGATCTCAAGGAGAATCTAAGCGTAATCCCATCCGACTGCTCTCAATTACTGATTGTTACAGTTTATAAAAAATGACAAAACTCCTCGTGACAGTCACAGAGGAATCAATCTAACTAATATAATCCAACGCCTAACTAGAGCTCGTGAAGAGCAAACTCAGAAAAAATAGGATGGTTTCAGACATGGACGTGCCATAGAATAGTTCTATTTGGTGAAGACGCAGACAAATCAGTCTTCTTACCACCTCAAGTAAAAATGCCAGCATGTTCGGGATGCGGATTCTCCCATCCAAATTATATATGTTGCTTCAGGATTGGCTAGTTGAGTGTGTTAACCGGTTCAATTATCTCGGGAGTCTCATCAATGCTGATAACCTGGTGTGTGACGAAACTTCAGCACGCATACAGAAGGCTCCACTGACTTTTGCCACCTTGCTTCACTTATGCAGCAAACGAGATATCAGTCAACTAATCAAAGGACGAGTTCACCGTGCAGCAGTTCGCTCCGTGCTACTGTATTATTGTGAAACAAGGCCGCTAAGAAAATAGGATATTTGTAGGTTACTAGTATTCGTTCATAGGTGTCTCCGAAGCATTGCTCGTATGTTCTGGGATCACTGAGTAAACTATGCTGTTCTTAGGAAACGGATACTAGGTAAGGATGGCAAGTAAGTTGGTGAAGTATTGAAACGTCATCAGTTCAGGTGGTTGGGACATGTTTTATTTATGCACAACCACCAATTGCCTCGACGAGCAATGTTTTGTGGTGCAGGGGTAGACTGGAAGAAAGCTAGGGGCGGTCAAACCAAAACATGGCACAAATCCATGAAGTCACTGACTAGTGGACTGAGTCATGTTGGTAAGTGTAGACTATCTGGTTGGGGTAACCGATGGTTAGAGACCTTAAACGACATGGCTCCAAATCGTTTGCAATGGTGCAGGTGCATCCACTCTTTGTGTTCTCTCAAATTCTAATCTTCTGAATTCCTCGTCACTCATACCTTTCTCTTTCTAAATTTATTTCACTGAATAATACTTCTTGAATAATATCTTCGAACTCTAATCTTCTAGATTATTGCTAATACTTTTACTGTCTCTACCACAATGGGATTTATACTGACAATTGCGTCTTTGTGCTAATGTGGTGTGGCGACATGAACTTATGTATGTTCATACGTTGTAGCTAACTGACTGACTGATCAGTGAGTATCAGTATTCAATACTAACCGGCGTGACTTTCAAACTGGTTAGAGTTCAAGGAAACATTACGAATATCAATTCTGAGAATAACTCGAAAGCAGATATTTTATTGCAAAATAATCATGACCTTTGTGATATTTAATGATAATAATAACAATAATAATAATAGTAATTAAATCTCACATTTTATTGAATGTGAAATTAACTCATATAGAAATTGATAGTGATGTAGAGACACATACATAAGAAAATTTGAAACAGTTTTACAATAAACAAATACAATCACACAAAATTCACATAATCAAAATGTCTAACTGGAAGAGTAGAGAAAGGATAATTTTTTTCAACAAAAAATAATAAACATTTTAATGCTGACAAACAGAGAACATAAGTATCACAGTTTAAGTAAAAGTAACAATGAAACAGCTATAGGATATTTTGACTGATAATTATATGTGTATATGTGTGTATATAGATGTGCATATTTGGTGAAGCTTTTTCTTGTAAGTCCCTGAATAAGCAGCAACAATAAGGAAGATATTGACAATATAATATGAAATAGACAAAAATAAGAAAAAAAAAAAAGAGGAAGCATTCATTTCATCTCTTGTAGGCAAATATGACAACAAAAAAGAAAACAGAAGCAAAAAGAGAATTTATATGACAAAAGTGCTCTCTCTAAATTACTTCGACTGATTGATTTAAATCAGAGCGTAGTACACTACCAGTCCCAGGTGTCCCTTGTTGTATAGGTTCATCAAAAATTAAATTGATTAAACTGGCAGGTGCTAAACCTATTTCACTTAAACAAACATTATCATCAATTAAATGAACAGGTGCCGTTGCAGGTGTATTTGTAAGCGTGGATATTTGAGTACCGGGCGGTGCATACAATCGAAATAAATAAGGTTTAGCTAGACATTCAGAAATCCATTCTCGAACTGTTGAAAGTTTATCCATAGCATAAAATGTACCCTGAAAGATAAAAACAGAATAAAAAAATTCTTATCAATCAAATGTAAAATTTCAAACTTTAAATGTTAAATACAATGAGTAGCCTAAAAATGATTATGGACATAATGAAATATACCAATAGATATTCACTGATTGAAGTGGCGGCCAAACCAAAACATGGCAGAAATCCATGAAGTCATTGACGAGTGGACTTAGCCATGTCGGTAGTTGTCGACTACCTGGTTGGGGTAGTCGATGGTTAGATACCTTGAATGACATGTATCAAAACCGTTTGCAATGGCGCCGGTGCATTTATTCTGTGTTCTCTCAAATCCTAATCTTCTGGATTCTTCAACCCCTCTTGTTTTGACTTTCTAAACTTTTCTCACTGAAACATACTTCTTGAATAATATCTTCTAATCCTAACCTCTCCGATTACTTCTAATACCTTTACTACCTCTTCTACTATTGGATTTGAATTGAAAATTATATCTCTGTGCTGATGTGGTATGGCAACATGAACTGAACTGAACTTACGTACGAATTTCTACGTTGCATCTGACTGACTGACTGATTGAAGTCTATTCAATCTCACTTGATTGATACAATTGAACCATGATTGTGAACGACGCCTGATCTTGAAAAAAAAACCAACTTCAATGTTTTGTGAGTACTTATGATAATCATTGATACACATTAATATTGTGATACGTTTCGTGGCTTCATAACTTGACACCATGTTTCGAATGTATAGCCTTTTTTTCAATCTACTTTTATAATGCTGAATACTACACACATAAGGATATATGTTAAAACGAAATTGACTAAAACATTCTTCAACCATCACTCACAATGAATGTTTACAGCCTCAGGAATCACTTATCTATTCAAATTACAAAGAGTTAATTTTCAACTTTTCTAACAAACAAGATAAATTGTCGTCTATGCACATCAAGTCAACAATACTTTTCAATTTTTTAGTATTTACCAATCGTTTATTGATAAATTAGGTAGTTATTTTATAAGTCAATTCTCAATTTGAACAGTTTAAAAGTATTGCAATCGTTTTAAACAATCACAATAAGCAACCAAACATACTAAACATTTGAAATCATGAATCGATCAAAGTTAGACCACCATGAGAAACCTGGAAGCACTGGACGGCTCAGTGGTCCAGAGGTTAGGCGTTCGCGCCCAAAACGAAGGTCCTGGGTTCGAATCCTGCGAGGTGCAGGAGTCGTGGATGCGCACTGCTGATGAGTCTCATACCAGGACGAAACGGCCGTCCAGTGTTTCCAGGTTTCTAATGGTGGTCTAACTTTGATCGATTCATGATTTCAAATGTGTAACTTAACAATCTTCACAACCCCGTAATGAAACATACTATAGTTTGATTTGGTTTGCAAATTTTATAAGGTAAAGTATCACAAGACTACTAAACAGTATGATTGAAAATTGCGAATAAATCTGTTTCTTTTTTTTCACAGAAAAAAATGTACTATCGACTACAACTGACTAAATAAACAATAATTCTGTAGGAAAAACAAAAGAAGTAAAGTACAAACCTGCAGAAGAATATTATCCGGTAGGCGAACACGAATAACACAATAACGAAATGATTTCATGGATTTTGCTTTTAATCGTTCTCTCATAGCTTTTGTCATTAGCATATTGCCTTCTTCGATTAGTTGATGTTGATAATCGTAGTACTTACGAAATTCTTCTTTGGTGAAACAGAAAAACTCATCCGGCAGATCATCGCGAGCAATATACATCTGATTACGACCAGTGACCTAGGGATAAAAAATAAAAAAATCATAAAAGATATTTATCACAGAAAGTCAAATGCAATAATAACTTTTAAATGTAAACGCGACAGTGTGATTTGTAAATGTAAACAGGACTAAACAGGATTAATTTTGATGAGATCAAAATACTTCAAAAAACATTTATAGCATATCACATAAATTTACACATACACGTGTACACATTCATTTATTTTTTTCACATGTTCCCACATATCTCAACTGATTCATGTGATATTTTCTACTCACTAAAATCAATATTTGAATATGATTGGATAAATATTTAGTGTGTAAACTTGATTTGATTGTGTCAAACATTAGATATTCTTTGATAAGTTAGATTATGGTGATTATTACCTTAATGAAATCTTGACAAGATAGCTGGACGAAACGTTGGAATTATCTAGAATTTCAATCGTTGAGATTATTTCAAATACAATTCTCACAAATAATGTCTTCTGTAATACTCAATGCCCAATTTTCATCAAACTACTTGTACAAATATTGATGAATATTCTGATGAATTAAATTTATTCTAAGAAAAGTATACTAACCATAGACCTTTCAATTAGTAAGTTATAGGTTTTGATACCCACTCTGCCTACTTCAGGTTTATTCAGCTGACTAGTATCCTACTACTAGTAGTTAGCTGCCATGCAATCAGTGTAGCTCGAAGCTTGTAGTTGGTAAATGATTTACAAACTATGAGCAAGATGAGTTGGTTAAAAATACCCGTACAAAAGCACTAGATCATGGGAGGAAAGTGTTACGCCTGCACGTAAACACGTCAACTTGATATACTTGAGCAGTTACGAGTTTACCTAGTCGGAAAACGAAAGCGAGGATCGAGGATCCGGCGACATGACATGCTCCTCAAATCCGATTATCCCGACCTCCATATTGAGTGAAATAAGAAGACTTGAATGTGGAGTAGAACCTGTATTCTACAAGCATCCAGAAAGTACGAGGTCCGAATCCAGAAGAGAATCAGGATCCCGGACTAGGGATCCGGGACTGGGTCCTGGTCGTGGTCATAAAACGTTACAGATAATGCGTATTTATACATTTTGGTCGAATAGGAAACAGCATCGAAGTCTGTGATATTGACAGTTAAGATGACCAATAGGAAGCAACATTTGAAGTGACATTGATAGTCAGAACAACCATAAAATTGACCAGTAGGAATTAACCAATAGGAATTGACCAATAATTCTCTTAGGATATTGGATGAATATTCTGACAGAAAAGACAGCATTTAACTAGTGCGTGTTTATTTATAATCAATACCGACTATATGGAAAAAATATTACAACTCACTCGATATACTTTTGTATCACGATATAATTCAGGCAGAATAGGATCAGCTGTGATGAAAAGATCCAATAATTTTTCTAAATGCTCTTTATTGTTAGCATCTTCTTCTGATATGATATAGAAAGCCTCTTCGTCCACAGTTGGTTTTTCGTCAGCACCTTCGACTTGTTGTTGTTGTTCACTAGGACGTGTAACAGGTAACATTGTCTTTTTAAAATTACATAACTGTTTTTTTTTCGTTATAAACACAGGAAAAATGTATAGAAAGGAGAAATAAACATTCAGCAATACACAGAAACAAAGAAGAAATATTACTTTCATAGATAATTATTAGCACTATAATTTTAAGAAGAGATTATCATAAAATTTATAGAAGAATAGTCTCATAATTAAAAAGACAGTTTTATATATAGATTCCTGGTTATAATCTTATCTAGAACGATTCAAAGTTAAACACTTTCTTTCCTTTTGATTTTCTTTAATTACTTAATAAATTTCAGATGCTGAATTCCCCTAAGCTAAAAAGTTAGTAGTTTCATCAAATTTGATTGATGTGTTCTTAGCTTTTTGATTATCATGTCCTGGATCCATTGAAGGTTTTATTCAATCTGTGTCATTAGACGCCTAATGAATTTGTGATTCAATCTTTACATAGTAGTTAAATTAACCTGTAGGTCAAAAGACTCAGGGAGTGGCTGGCTGCCTAAGAAAGCCACCTGTCTGGGCGTTCAATGATTTTTGTGGTGCACATGTAATTTAATGCCCTTTTGTAATTTTATGTTTATGTTGAAATAATGATAATAATATAATGCGTTTAATCAGGCTAAAATATTTGAATACATTTAGGATCGAATGTCTAAATTACAGTAAGTAGGTAATGAAAATATAATAAGCTTTTCTTGATATTTATTATATGACCTGGTAAGACAGGTTATACAATTAAAAATTTAACGAACGCTTGCTACAGCTTCTCAATAGAACTGCGAGAATGGAATCTAGAAGCAGACACAGTTCTTATAATTCCATATCATTATATCATTAAACTTTCTTGATTGTGTACGAGTCAACAATCATTATTGTTAGAGTTACAGACTTAACAAGACTTCGTACATTAGATTTGAAAAAATTGAAATAACTAAACTATTCGATGGTGTAAGCTTTACGTATGAAAAAAACTGAAATAGTGGAATGTTATGATAATATATATTGATTACTAGCAGATATTTTATATGAATTGGTGTTCATGACAAGAATAATAGATCATGTCGACTCTCAATACACAATTACAAAATGTATCAGTCAGTAATAAGTTTCACCGTAGAATTTAGTACTCATACTACTAGAGCATGATCTGAGTCTAAACATATGCTTTAGAACGAGCGGTTTCTATCAAGCCTCTCCATCGGCGACTGGCAGCAATGCGGTCTATTTTGATTCACCGTTGAGTCCTGTAATGTGTATTATATTCACACAAAACAATATGACTCAACAATGTTTGTTCAGTAGTTACTCTTCCATAATGGGGGACTGGATTAGATTAATCGACGGAGCATCGAACTTTCAGTTGAAACAATAGGCTTAGTGTCTAAAGCAATCAACTATCACTCCATAGAAGCATAAGTTCAAATCATGTTGCCTTTTGCTCAATGGCTTGAAATCTAATACATCAACCTAAGATTTGCAAATTAAGTTACTGATGTATCTGTATAGTTAAAGATGTAATTAGCTAGTGAAAGAAGACACATATAACCTAATCTTACTCTGGATTTGTGTTTTGCAATTTGATGCAAGTCATTAATTCAGAGTAAATAAACAAATAACCAGCATAGGTTAACACAAATCTAAATAATAATCAAAAGAAAACAAGACAGAATATTTTCAAAGTACAATTCAAAACGCTTAGATCATCCCTTATACAGAATCAATTTGACTAAAAATAACATAACATTAAATTGTACTAAAACGAATTCGTTTTGTTTCCCTTTTTTATGATTATTTAAATTTGTCTTCATTTATTTCGGTTATTTACTTTGAAGAAGTGACTTATTATTAAGTCACAAAACATTCAGACTACAAATTATTTACTGATTGGGATTTGATCAATTAGTATAAATGATTTTGTTATTAGTTACATGAATGCTGTAATTCGTCAAAGGGGTATTTCTCACTATTAAATAACATTTGGATTGAATATGTCAGGTGGAATATATAATTCTATATAACTATAACATAATTACATTATCATAAAAACTTTAAAGCCAAAATTCTATCAATAAACAAATAATAATGAATTACTGTGATAAAAGATTCAAATCCATCGATAGACAAAAGATCTTGTATCAATTTATTCGATGCACGTAGACGTCGATAAACCGGATTTTCTGGTGAACTAATTAAATTTTGTAAAATTTTGATGATATTCTGTTTACGATTCTGTTTGATTTCACTAAGAGACGGTAATTCCGATAGTGGAATATTTGAAGATAATGGGAGTTTACTTTTATCAATGCCTCTGATAACAATCAGTACTATGGCTTCATTAGTATTACAGACGGAACCAGATAAGAGATAGTTTTGAATGGATTGTTCAATTTCATCTCGGCTTCCCACTAATGTATCACCAAAAAGATTTGGACACCAAAATAAGAGCTCTAAAATGAATAAACAATAAATAAAAAGCTTCACAATACATAATGTAACACACTAATAAGATGCAGGTTCACATATTTGATTTGAATCGCTAATGCTTATGTAATGACTAGTGAGTGATATCACGCGATTATCCGATCTCAGGGTTTGAACCTGCTACTTAATGAAGTAATCAAATGATTCAACCAATAAGCCTCCATCTCAAGTTTCTAGGGAATAGAACATCAACAAACATATATTTATCGGTACAAAGAAACAGATTAATATTTATGCGTCCAATCAAGATGAAATAACAGTTTTTGCAGGTAATCTTAGGTCATTTTTCGACTGACGTCAGATCATAAGGAGAAATTTTATCAAAAACCCACAAAAGCTTTCGCTTACAAGTTTAAATATCTTTGGAGCGTTATTTTTATTCAGTCAGTCACCAAATCGCTGTTATCATCATTTGTTGAACAAAAGACAATTAGAATTTTGACTTAGTTTGACAGTTAACATAAAATTACTCACATGACAACACAATACTCTCTAAACAAGTAATACACCAACTAAATAATCAATAAAAAAATCCAAAAGCAAAAATTTAATCGATAAACTGCTCCCTCTATAGACACTCAATGATTTAAATGACAACCTATTGATTTTTCCATAGAATTTGGCAGAAAAATAACTAAGAAAATATGCAGACTACGACGTACACGAATACGTGTAACTGTTGAAAAAATGTTTTAGACTGATGACATACGCTTTCATGGTAATGAAAAGTTCGATTCATATGGAATAGGACCAAAATCAATTGCGAAAAGGATCACAAAAACTGACGGTTAAAGCGAAAAGAAAAGATAGACACAAGTTTGTATTCTAAATGTGCACTAACACGTTATCCTGGAGTGTTTTAGTTGTGAACAATGAGTGAATAATAACAGTAAGAACAATAGTATAAAGGTTGACTTATTAGATCGTCGTTCATTCTTACTATTGTATACAAGTTACACAAGATGAGCTGAGTGAGGTTCAAACGTATAACTTGATGACTAAGAACCAAAACTCCAAAACACTAAGGTAAGTGTGCGGAATAATTAGACAATCCTAAAAATAGAACATTGGATTTAAAAGTCAGTCAGTAACAACGTAGAACTTCGTACGTATGTATATAAGTTCAGGTATCCATACCACATCAGCACAGAGACGCCAATGTCAGTTCAAATCCAATAGTAGTAGCGATAGTAGAAGAATTAGCGGTAATAGAGAATATCAGGGATCGAAGATATTAGTCAAGAAGTATAGTTCATTGAGATAACTTTAGGAAGAGAAAGATTGAAATGATGAGGAATTCAGAAGGTTAGAATTTCAGAGAACACAAAGAGTGGATGCACCTGCGCCATTGCAAACGATTCTGAACCATGTCGTTCAAGGTTTCTAACCAATGGTTACTATCATCTCGTGGACCCCAACCAGGTAGCCTACATCTACAAACATGATTCAGCGCACTGTCAATGAATTCATGGATTTGTGCCATGTTTTGGTTTGACGGCCCCTAGCTTTCTTCCAGCCTACCCTACACCACAAAACATAGCTCGTTGAGGCAGTCGGTGGTTCAATGGATTTAAAACACCTATAATGCATATGATTATCATTTATTTAAATAACAACCAGAGCCTGAATTGAAATACTCCTAATAATTACGTGCCGAAATATGTCGTGGGAAAATGTGGTTACTTAAAAGACAGAAGATTGATTTTTTGCTACAGATAAAGATATGCTATTTATAAGTTAATATACAACTAACTCATTCAAAAATTGTGGACATATTTTCAAAAGGATTGATAAATGAATACGAGCTATGCAAGTTACTTATCTAATTCGATTGCATAAAAGAGGATTGAAGGATATAACTACAATCAACGGTGATCTTAGTCTAGTAGGAGTAAACTTCTCTCTAACAAATGTAGTCATTGTTGTATAAGCGACAACAGAAACAACTGAAAGAACAGTTGGCGAATTAGCAGGGGAATTTTTTACTTATTCCTTAGTGGTAACAGATCAAAAACGAATAGAATGTCTTAGTTTGATTGCAGAATTTATTTTTAATGTAGAAAGTGAGAATACATTTGAATCTTAATTTAGTAGAATAGATCATTTTAGGGTAGAATGTTGCTATGGATGAAACAAAGATTTGATTATTTCTGAAAAACAACCTGGTTCCAATGAGAATTTAGAGTAAAGGAATGATATTTTACCAAAAGATGCTCCTCGTTGAATTGAGCTTTGATGAAACTGTCAAAATTTACGATAAAATATTTTACCAGCAACCATATTCATTTCGTGTTCTCCATAGTTACCTCCAACTAAAGTAACGAATTTCTAGCCTCTAAGACATTCTATATTCTTTGAGCTTAAGACGACGTTTGACTCCGTTAATTGTGGGAGCCTATGACATAGTCAGTCACTAAAACATGTCCCAAAGAACTACATTAACCTTATAAAGGCACTCTACTCGACCACTACTGGTCCAGTAAGAGCTTATGGAGAACTGTCATCAAAGTTAAGTAGCTTGAGTGGTGTGCGTTATGGCTTTCCACATTTTCTATTCCTAACAAACTTTGGCGTTAACATGCTTTTGGAGGTGACACGTGCATCGTCTGACTTTTCACCGGTTCACCTTGTACTAGGAAACTCGCTTCTTCATATAGAATGGTTCTATTTGGTGAAGGCAAAGAAAAATCACAGAGTCTTCTGACCACCTCAGGTAACAATGCAAGCATGTTCGGGATGCGAATTCTCCCATCCAAATTCTAAATGTTGCTTCAGGATCGGCTTGCATCGGCACCTAAACTAGGCATAGGAACTGAAGTATGTGTGTGTGTTGACCGGTTCACTAATCTTGTGGGTTTCATCAGTGCTGATAGCCTGGTATGTGATGAAATCTCAGTACGCATACAGAAGGCTCCACTGACTTTTGCCAACTTGCATCACTTATGCAGCAAACGAGATATCAGTCGACTAACCAAAGGACGAGTTTACTGTACAGCAGTTCGCTCCGTACTACTGTATTATTGTGAAACAAGGCCGCTAAGAAAATAGGATATTTGTAGGTTACTAGTATTCGTTCATAGGTGTCTCCGGAGAATTGCTCGTATGTTCTGGGACCACTGAGTAAGCTATGTTGTTCTTAGGAAACGCATACTAGGTAAGGATGGCAAGTCAGTTGATGAAGTATTGAAACTTCATCAGTTGAGGTGGTTGGGACATGTTTTATTTATGCCTAACCACCGACTGCCTCGACGAGCAATGTTTTGTGGTGTAGGGGTAGGCTGGAAGAAAGCTAGGGGCGGTCAAACCAAAACATGGCACAAATCCATGAAGTCACTGAAAAGTGGACTGAGTCATGTTGGTAAGTGTAGACTATCTGGTTGGGGTCCGCGGGACGTAAGTAACCGATGGTTAGAGACTTCGAAGTACATGGTTCAGAATTGTTTGCATTGGCGTAGGAGCATCCACTCTTCGCGTTCTCTGAAATTCTAATCTTGTGAATTATTCATTACCTTTTTCTTCTGAATTTATTTCGCTATCATGTTTCTTAAATCATATCTTCGATCCCTATTCTCTCCGACTTTTGTTAATACCGCTACTACCTCTACTACTATTGGATTTGAACTGACAATTGCGTTTCTGTGCTAATGTGGTATGGCAACATGAACTTATGTACATACGTACGAAGTTATACGTTGTTTTTGACTGGGGCTTTAAGACAAAGCATTAGTAATAACCAGGGATTATTTACTGTTTATGAGACCGACAGAAGAAATATGCACTTTTGACCATGGGTACACAGGGTTTAGTCGTCGACATAATAGCAGCACCTTTTGCAATATAAGCCGACGATGATATGGATACATGTCAATCAACTGCAACTTTACCGGAGGGAACGGGTAACAGAAAGTGACAAAAGCCCTACTATGCCCTGAATGTGTTAATTAAGCTGTATATGGAAACCAACAAATAACCAAGAACTTTGAAAAAAATGATATCATCAACAGGAAAGCCCAAACAGAGCTGAATGGAATAAGAGCAAACCTATGTGATTGATACTAAGATAAGCGGTTTGTACAAGTCCGTACAATCGTTACTGACGGTGATGTGTAGAAGGTTAAATAGTGTCGTTAAGCAAGTGGTCAGAGGTCTTGTAAGAGTAAAGCATACTAAAGACATAACAATAACCAAATAACATTTCTAGCCTGTGCACAACAATTTGAGTTCAAAATCTAGAAAATGGACTTGTAATTCGTTAATGAGTTGTAGTACCAATGGCTTAGGTTCACTGCAAATATCTAAACAGCATTAAAGAATTATTATCCAATTTAGTCAGTAAAACCTATAATCCTTTCTACACGAATAACAATCATATTACATCAATAAAAAAATAAGCGAAAGTAAGAAAATTTAGTAAAAGTAGCTTACTTGGAATAACTACAGGTTTTTCAGGTTGCTTTTCATTTTCTACTTCGTCCGACTTATGTTGTAGATATCTCTCAGTTTGGGTGGAGTTTACTATGTAAATTAACAGAACAGAAAATTATGAACGATTAGAATAAATTTGGCGATACGCGTAAACTAGTGATCATCATTAAACCAAACATGGAAGTTAGAGAAAAATATTGTTATGATATTACATAGTGAACATACTACAGTCATTGTATTCAAACATTATTATTGGTACAGTGGCCCCGAAATATACATATGCTTTACACAAATCATTGAATTTGGGTGCGGGGGTCGTATGTACGTACGAAGTTCTACTTTGTAACTGACTGACTGCGGGAGTCGGGGTGCTTCCTAGATGCCTAAACCAAGGCAGGTGTTTTTCGTACGGTGCAACTCCCTGAGCCTTCGATTTAGAGGTCCAATCCACAAGGCAGTGGAACACCATCAGGAGATACAGTCCCACGACAGTCAGTGACCAACCATAGATCTATACACCAATCGCTCACTCAGGATCCTGGAACATATATGGTGTGGGATTAGGGTTTTCCAACTACCTAGGTAGATCCGCCGTACCCACCCATTCGTTCTAAGCGCCACACGCTCTCTTTTTGTCCTCTCAACTTTGTAAATAAAACCCCCGCCGCGAGGCATTGAGAAAGGCTGTTTGCCTTTGCTGTACGTGAGAGCACTGAGGGGGAGCAGACTTTTCTCTCTCAGAGATACCAGAGCATCTAGGGGTTTTATGTAATAGTACTCGCGTCACAGAAATTACGCGTTAAAAATGAAATGCTTTGTAAAATACCCCTAATAGGTGAGTGAATTTCCTTAATCGAGTGAAAATCAGTGAGTATAAAAGTATCTCTCTAAAACTTCATACCAATTTATTAGTTACCTCCGACGAGAACTATGAAGTCACAATGTTAAAAAACCCATCCTGAATAATATTTACTGCTACTAACAAATATAGCGATATTGTGATTACAGACATCTACAGGCACATACATAGGGTTCATATGACAATAAAAAATCCCCTATTTTAGTAACTCAGTTTAACGAACAGAAGGTACAAGCTGTAATGTCAAATTAAGCTACCGAAACTGTTAATAGCAATTTACCGCAATGCACTAATGAATTGTAGAAAGTTACAGAGATTAGAAACCTATGAACCTGTAAGTGGGAAGGTTTATCAGCCGATAGTAGTAAAATGAGTAAACGGATATAGAGAGGACGAGAATCATCATTGGTCCTTTCCGACTTCTTTACGTGTGGTTGGATAGCCTGATTTGCTAAATATCAGTTTTACCTAGGACGTTTCCACTCATTGATACGATTAGATCCTTTGGAAAGCTGTTAAAAACTGCTAGTTTTCATTTTTGCTGGAAAAAATACCGCTGATCTTTGTAGAGGCTATATGATCACGGCTGTGAAATTGATGCAGAGGTCAAATTTATATGCATTTCCGGAAAATTTACTGGAATAAGGTTGCTGTTACAGAAATTAGAGACCAATGGTACATTCACATGGCTAGCCAACAATCTTGTCCTTTAAAGCTTATTAAGTAAGGGTTTAGAACCTCGTTCTGTGGTTGACTTATTGGATTATACACTCCACTTAATACAAGGATTCTTACTTGATATAATGGGTAATCTTAAGACATGGATCCTGGTGCGACTGGTCCAACCTAAGAGGAAAAACTTGGGAAATTCTGTTGGCAGAAATTTACAAGTGTGAAAGTCCTTAAGTAGAGATTTATTTTCCTATCAGCTCCTCATGGATAGATGTAAACAATGACTAAAAGAGAAGTAGTATAGAAGGCTGGTTACAGTTGTGAAGTTTATTCATAGTGTTACAGATTATGAGTAAACTAGATGTAACAGGGCTTAGGTAACTGAAGTGTCGTTACTAGGCGCTGCAGTTTTGTTTATGAAACCTCAGAAAATGCAGGGTTGCAGTTTTACAGTGATAGTAGTACCAACTGATCAATAAACTCCATCCTTAAATATTGACAAAATAATGGACGCAACATCCAGAACAATAACAGATGTAGGCATGACAAATCCAGGTATATATAGTCGAGTATAGGCAGAAAGAAATCTATGTATATGTGACCAATATATGATTATATCACACTAATTTTTTAATGATTTAAATGTCTGCACATTTACTTATCTAGGTAATGACAAAATATTACTAGTTGATACGTGCGTTGTTACAGAGCGTCTGTCGTAGAAATACTCATTCGCCTAACATCGTATTGTTTTTCACCATGTTCCTTTTTGGTGTTGTGAATTGAGCTACAACAGATAAACCAGATTCCACGTTTTACCAAACGCTTTTCTAACCCCGAAGGATTTTGAAGTCCAGTTGAAAAAATGGGGTAGAAGCAAGGGACATTTTTCTAAATTAGTCACCAGTTGCTAAATTAGAAACCAATGCATATGAAAGAGATTCAACTAATAAGTAAAGACACTTTCCTATAATGCTGCTCGATATTCTAGACAGTTTTTTAATACACATATTATACAGGAAGAACTGAAACCAACTTCAAGTTATGTATACATGAAAAAGAGAAAATAAGTAACGCACTAGATTGATTACTATTATTTCCAGCTTGTGAGATGGTTAATCTGGAAAAGGATGCTTCTGTCGATTTCGAAGATGATGATTTCTTACACGATGTCGACTCACAGTCAGTTTTGGCAGTGGATGAAGAAGACGGAGTACTAGAAGCACCAAGTCGATGGCCTTCCCCTAGTTTGGAGAACTTTTTATCAACTTTCTTGTCTTTGAAGAACTTGACTAAATTATTCATTTAATTTTATACTTAGATCTGTTAAAGATTTATACTGAATACGCTCAGATATAGAAACTTGTAGCAAATCGTAAGAGTAGCGGAAAATTTCATTTTAGGCTCCACAAAATCCAACAATATCCAATATCTTTCTCA